AGATCTTACCAAGATGTGCACATGCACCTGGAAATGCCTGCACACAATAAAAAATTGTAGGCCCACCGGGCTATAAGGAACATCTTCACATATCCATTTTGCATACATTCAGGACTATATCTAGAAGATAAACTTCTAGATTAGGAGAATGGGTATGTGCATTTTAAAAGTTGACAGACACTGCCCAATTGCCCTCCAAAAAGATTATATTAACCATACTCCCACTCTTCACTCTCCATCCCCCACATCACAGCTGTACTTCCCTCCTTACCAGCTTACCATGGTGTTACTCCCTCTCCTACACACGACCTTATTTCCCTTGCCCCTCTGTTTGTCCATTGCACTCATTTAGCAAAAGTTCAGCCCTTGTTAAGCCCAACTCTGCACCTACTTCAAGCCTGTGCCTAAGCCCCTAAACATGGCTGGACAAAACACAAAATCTCCACTTCAAAGGTTTGACCATAAATCTCCAGTGACTCTGAGAACTGCTCAGCAACCGGCCACATTTCTCTGGTTAGTTCACTGTCTTAGTCTCTATCTCCAAGATGACTATTCCACTCCTTTTCCTATCTTCCCAAATCTCCAACACTCCTCCCTCCAGACCTACTCATTCTCAATTGATGACCTCACTAAAAAAATAGAAGCAATCAGGAGAGAATTACCTCCTCTTCTCTGGACAAATGCAGCAACCTACATGCATCTATATGCATATACTCTGCCTTCTTTCCTATTACAATGGACATACCCTACCCTGTGCCTCCATCTGTCCATTCGTCCCTGCATTCTCTTGATGATCCAGGACTGTGCTCTCCCAATTATCCCCTGACAACTCTCAAACTGACATCTCCAGCCTGAGCTCAAACCTCATATAGCCAACTGCTGACTTGATATCGCCATTTGAGTGACTAATAAGTATCTCAAACTTGACATATCCAAAACAGGATTGTTAATTCCCTACCCCACCCTCCACCCCATGTCCCCCAACTCAGTAAATGATACCAGTGTATCACCCTTCACCTTATAGCTTGAACCAAAATTTTGGGATCATCCTTTACCTTCCCTTCCCCCACACCCAATCTAACAGCAAGTCTTGATTGTTCTATCTTCAAATATATGAGGAATCCTACATTTCTCTCTACTCTACTGCTACCTCCATAGTCTCCCATCATCTTTTGACTAGCCTACTGCAACAGTACCCTATATAGTCTGTGTGCTTCCACTCTTGCCTCCTACCATCAGTTCACAGCAGAACAGCCAGGGTGATCTTTTTAGAACATAAACCAAATCATGGCATTTCTCTGCTTGAAATTCTCCAATAGCTTTCCTTCATAGGACAAAATCCAAACTCCTCACCACGCCCACAAAGTTCCAGTGCTCTGGCCCCTCCCTCTCTTCAGCCTCGTCTCCTACCAGTCTCTTCTCCTTCCTGACCATTCCAGAACACTGGCCTTCTGGCTCCTCCTCAATCATGCTAAGATCATTCGCGTCCCAGGAATTTTGTACTTGCTGTTCTCTCCTCCTGGAATGCTCTTCCTTTGGGTCTTCACATGCTGAGCTCCTTCACATTATTCAGGCCTCAGATGTCCCCTCCCCAGCGAGGCCTTTCCAGACCAATCCATCTTAAATAGTGTGCTCACCCCTCCATTACTCTCCATTCCAATATCCCAGTTTATTCCTCTCTATGGCACTTATCACTACCCCAAATTCTATTATGTATTCATTTGTTTATTGTCTATCTTCACCACTAGAAGGGGAGCAACATGAGCTTAGAATACTAACTGGCACAGAGAAGATGCTTAATATTTTTTTGAGTTAATGAGTATTACTTTTACAGTAAAAATTAATGTTTAAAAATTTTAACTGCAGGGGGCTGACCCCGTGGCCAAGTGGCTAAGTTCGCGCGCTCCGCTGCAGGCGGCCCAGTGTTTTGTTGGTTCCAATCCTGGGCGCGGACATGGCACTGCTCATCAAACCACGCTGAGGCAGCATCCCACATGCCACAACTAGAAGGACCCACAATGAAGAATATACAACCATGTACCAGGGGGCTTTGGGGAGAAAAAGGAAAAAATAAAATCTTTAAAAAAAAAAATTTTAACTGCATGTACAATCGCCACATTGTGAATAAACTATACCTAATCAGGGGCCAGCCTGGCGGCACAGTGGTTAAGTGCACAAGTTCCACTTTGGTAGCCTGGGGTTCGCCAGTTCGGATCCCGGGTGCAGACATGGCACTGCCTGGCAAGCCATGCTGTGGTAGGCGTCCCACATATAAAGTAGAGGAAGATGGGCACAGATGTTAGCTCAGGGCCAGGCCTCCTCAGCAAAAAGAGGAGGATTGGCAGGAGTTAGCTCAGGGCTAATCTTCATCAAAATAAATAAATAAATAAACAAACTATACCTAATCAAGAAAGACTAGAAGAGAATAGACAAAAGATGAAAGTAGTTAAAATGGGAAATTGTTTTTATTTACATCATATTTTAATGTTTTATATGACTGTTTTATAATAAAAAGCAACAGACTTTCTGTCCTAAATGAAAGCTAAGTGAGGCCCTGTCACTGGCAGAGGGTCACCACTGCATAGATCAGTTGTAAGAAAGAGAAAAGCAGCCCCTGGCACATGGAAGCTGGCCTGGGACTGCCAACTAGGGCTTGGTGTTACTAGGAGCTGGCCTGGCACTCACTCCTGGGCCTTGATGTTGTACATAAACATCAGACAAGGCCACTCTGTGACCATGATGGATTAAGACAGAACTAAGACCACTCTGTAATGATAACTGAACACAGACAAAACATGAACACTGCCCAAAACATAAAATACTATACATATCCCACTCCTGGCTAACAAGTGACTATTGCTTCTTTATCAATTTCAGCTTTGGCCCCACTGTAGTCTGTTTTCCCTATAGGTAGTATTTATTAAAATACTGAATTACAGAATTACTCATTTTCTGACAGCATCCAATCCGGAGCAAAACCTAATTCCTTAAAAACCCTCCAAAATTACTAATACAAGTCCAAATCCTGTAATAAGTCTTTCTAACACTGTCTCCCTGAGATGCCCACAGTTCCCTATGGTGTCCGTTCTCACTTGCTGCAACAAACAATAACCCCAGCTTATTCAACTACTGGTATGTTCCTGGTGGTCTTTGGCTGGTGGGCACTGACAGTTGTCATGACTCAGTTGCCATTACAGGTTATGTACAGGCAGAAGTCATACGAGCCTGGCTGGAAAACTGATCCCAGCACACAATCTCAGTGCTGGTTCTCTGATACATTCCCTGACATCCGCTGATTTTATCATCTGCCTCTTTCTCCTAAAAGCGGGTGAAGGAAAAAAAAAAAAAAGTCAAGTTAATTAAATGTCCTGGTGAATAATGTTACAATTAATCAAGGATGCCCGGTACAGCTTCCCTTCCCTTCCATTTCCAAAAGTCACCCTAAGCACAAGGTTAGAGAGGGGCTGAAGGACTGACTCATGGGCAGAGCCTAAGGCAACACTACTCAAGTACTTTAAGCCACATGTTCAAGCCCAATAAATTAGCCCAGGCTTAAAGAAGTCAGGCTGTACACATGTAAGAATTTTAATAAGCTTGGAAAATGCTACCTAGAGCTTATACACAAGCTTACTGTACCAATGGGATTCCCTGCCACCAGCCACGGAGTGCTAAGCCCCTGACAAGAGCTGTCGAGCACATGGGGCAGCAGGGCCAGGGAGTCAGCGTGGTCCACTTTCCTCAGAAGCTGGAGCCTCACCGTGGAAGGCTGGCAGCCAGATGGACGGAGAGCAGAACAGGGCATGCAGCTCAGCGGAGCCAACGGCATTTACTAGGAAAACATGTCAGAAGTTTCTCTGGTGGAAATCTGGTCTTCACACACCCTTCCAGAAACTAGCAAACACTGTAATCAATGTCTGCATTTATCAAATGCCGGTTTTGTACCCAGAACTGTTAAGTACAAGAGAGAGTTATTTAAGCAAAGACGGTCTCTGCCTTCTAGATGCTGACACCTAATATAAATAAAAACAATAAATCTGTCCAGAGGATTGCCAAACTAACTGAACAAACGTGAAATAGTCAAAAGCACTGACCTTACATAAATGCAATGGAGTAAGAACTGAAGGGGAAGTCATCAGAGATGACTCTCTAAACAAGGTGGGGCCCTAGTGCAACAGTTACCTTGTTACGGCTGAGTGTCCAACGGGGAGGTCAGCTTTTAAGCAAAGCTTCAATTGGGCTATGGGGCTTGGGGAAAATGAGCCAATCAGAGAAGAGGGTGCACCTTGGGAGATGATTTGGAGACAGACATACAACTACAGGGAGAAAGAAAACTCAACAACCATCTAAGAAAAGTAGGGGAAATCAGTCAAGCAGGTGTAGGTTTCTCAACCATTTTATACATGCCCCCTTCTGATAAACACACAAGCTCACACTCCATTTGAATGTATTTAGAATTTGAAAAGGAACTAAATATCCTAACCAACACCAAATCAAAGCAATAGTGGTTTCAGAATTTGATTTTCCAAATCATACAAACCATCCCCTTCCCCTGGAGCTGAGAATCACCCAGTGGAGGCAGCACCTGTCAAGAAGGATGGAGTACCTATCACTGAATTCTTTCCTCATTTTTTGAGGAAGATTAGCCCTGAGCTAACATCTGCCGCCAATCATCCTCTTTTTGTTGAGGAAGACTGGCCCTGAGCTAACATCCATGCCCATCTTTCTCTGCTTTATATGTGGGACGCCTACCACAGCATGGCTTGCCGAGCAGTGCCATGTCCGCACCCGGGATCTGAACTGGCGAACCCTGGGCCGACAAAGCGGAACGTGCGAACTTAACCGCTGCACCACTAGGCTGGCCCCTATCACTGAATTCTTGAGGAAGAGAGGATTTGGATCCTGGATCCACACGGGACCAGACAACCAGTAGTATTAGAAAGAGTTACAGCCTAAGGTGACAAAAATAGACCATGGCATTAGCAAGAACATGTAATAATTACCTGATTAAAATTTTTGAAGGAAAACTCTTTGTAGATGGCGTCTCTCTCACTTAATTCCGACCATCCTGCTGCTTTAAGATCAAGTATAACTTGGGTCCTCTCCTCTGCTGTCAACCGGTGAGCGTCTGCTGACTATGGAAACATCACACTTAATATCTGAAATGTAGAGGTTTAGTTAAACTCAAACAAACTTACAGTTCTTTACGTTATGTAGAGATGCAGGAAAAAAGTCTTAAAAGCAACAATTTCCAACCATCTTTGGTTCCTTTGTTCTCAAAATACAAATTTCTCAAAAAATACACACAAACACGGTTAGCTCTGTACAAAATAAGCTGCCTCCCTGGTATGTTGCCTCGCCAGCCCTCACCACTGCCTCAGACTTCACAATTCAGTTTCTCTGGTTTATTATCGATACAACTGAGATTTATCACCACCACTGGCCGTTCTTACCAATGACCATTACCAATGGCCAGCATTCTAGGACTTGAGAAACTGAAGTAAACACACCCACCCCAGGAATCCCTGAAAGTCCACTGGCAGGACCAGGATTAGAACTCAGGGCTCTAAGCGCCTGGCCTACTGCTCTTCGGAAGGTCCTGCACCACCTTAGTGGCCTTCACTGCTTCCTCACATGAGTCTTAACTATGTGAGTTCACTGTACCCTTTCAGATCTGATGAAAACCAATCCCCAGAAAGGAAAAACAAATGCACATTTACATAGGATTTTGTATAACAACTTCTGGGGGTCCACAGCCTCTCTAGACTACAGGTGAAAAGCCCTTGCCTTAGTGCAGTGAGTTTTCTCAGGGTCCCAGTAAGACACACTCCCTCCACAGTCTGGCCAGAGCACTGTGTGCACCGTCCACCTTGTTCCTACTCCCTCTGGTGATAAAATTCACAAATCCAGAGTTCTGTTTGTTAACAGGCCCACATTTCCCACGCTATTTGCTTTTTAACTGAAAGAACTCTAAACGTCATGGTCAGAGAGAGAAGGACACTCTAGTAAAAGTGAGAAGAGCTTCGTTCTTATTCCAGCATAAATGCCAACCAACACCTCCTGCCTTACCTCTTTGCAGGGCTACTGTAGGCTCAGGTGAGAGAGGGACTGTCACCCAGAAAGACTGAACTAACATGAGGGCCTCTCATCAAAGAGCAAGCAGGGGCTGAGGTGAATCCTCCACCATGACACTACAACCCACTCCCACTTCAGAAATCCTAAACCCTTGTATCACTGACATTAATGTAATTAAGAGGGCAAAATAAGTAAACTTAAAGACAACTTATTCTATGAAGAGGGGAAAAAAATGTAATGAACCAATTTTCTAGTTTCTCTTCCTTGCTAGGTCAGCTACCCTTCCCCACAACTAACAAAAGAGAAAAATGAAAATACCTCTTAATTAAATAAAAATATTAAAGGCTTGTTATCAAAAACCATTTACTATTAAGAAACAAAATACCTGTTACTAGTTTTACAATGATGGTTCTGAAAAATTTCACACAAATACCTATTATAGGAAATAGTCTAAAATTCTTATCAAACACTTAAATATTTTAAGTTAATTCACAGTATTTTGGGAAAGAAATGGAACCATCTGTGTCCACACTGAGCAGTTGCAAAGAAAACTATTAACTGTGCTGTGGGTAATGCAGCAGTCACCTGGAGTCTGTAGAATGTGCTGGGCTGTTTTCCTCTGCAATCCACATCCCCAAGGAGGTCACTCTGTGCTCATCAAAGACATCTGCCCAGAAACAGGGATTGTGTCCAGGACAGTGAAACGGAGCCAGTTCAGCTACATAACACAAATGGTTCCCTTGGGGATACACCCTCTGCACAACACTTTGTGGTGGGTTTAATTTTTTTTCTGTGGGAGTTGGGGGGAGGGACAGGCAAAAGCAGAGGATTTGGAGATAGTAAAGTTGATTCAAGACCTAGCTTTGTTACTTTTAGCTGTGGGATGCTGAAAAATCACTGAGCCTCCTCATGTCCATAGTGGGGATATTCCAATATCTACCTGCTGAGATTTTTTCAAAGGCTTAAAGGGATCTTGAATATGAAGGCGGGCACTCAGCATAGAGCCTGGCACGTGGCAGCCATTCCAATCACGTATTTGCTCATTCCTCCCCAAACCCCATAATTTTACTTGATCACCAGAACCGTGGGTAGTGGCACACCTTGGGACACACCTAGGTGACAGTAAGCACTTGTGTTCTCACCTTAATGGCCACGAAGCAGAGTGTTTATCTTACTCCTTCATCGAACTATTTTAAATTTCCTCTATTAAAGAATTTCAAACTGCCAAATGGGCCTTTGCTGCACCTTAGGAAAATGAAACGGTGAGTTTAATGCACCATCTTCCCACTAGATGGCGCTGCGTGCTAAAACTTTCCCTCAAGTTCATTGGCCCCAATATACTGATTTGTAAAACAGGAAAACCGACCGAACGCGCCTCAGAAGAGGAAAGAAGACATGTGTCACCAAAAAAGATAATTTATTAATAATTCCTCCAAAAGTTAACACCAAAACAAATCAGTTAACTCAACATTCAGTCACCTGGTTTATAGCGAGCGCCCCGCGACGGAGACGGTCCCTGCTCTCAGCGAGCGTACAATCTAGAGGACCGAACAGCACCTCTAGTCACATCAAGTGACCCTAAGCATCAAATACTTTTATAATTACTTTTCATAATTACTTTTTTTTTTTTAAACAAATCTCGTCCTCGTTTGTTTTCCGGTTGGCAATTTCGTAGACTACGAGGGGCTTTTAAGCCAAGGGAAACCGGAAGATGCTGAGGACACCCCGGTCTCCGGCCAGCGCGTGGGCAAGTGCCCGGTGCCCAAAACGTGGCTGCCCAGAGTCCGAGGCCGAAAGCCGGGCCCACTTCGGGACCTGCCGGCGCCTCGCGCCCCTCAGTCGGCGCCGCGGGCCTCGCCCTCCTCCCGCACCGCGGGCCCTGGGCACTCACCATGGCCGCGAGGCTCGGGCTCCGGCCTCGCAGTGCCGCCAACAAGAGCCGCGTCGCCCCGCGCGCTCCCAGCGCCGCCGCCATGGCCGCCGGCCGAGGGCTGCCCGGCGCGCTGCCTGCCCGCCACCCCGGCCACCTGTCCGCGGGGCCGGTCCCAAGCCGGGGGCCATGCGGCCAGCTCCCAGCCGCCGGCCCGGCTGCCCCGCACGGCCCAGCCCCGCCGCGCAGGCCCAGGACAGCCCGTCCCCGGAAGGCCCCCAGCAGCATTGATGGTCGCCAACTCTGCGGGCAGCCGGGCGGGCGAGGTGTGGCAGGCCCCCGCAGGCCCCCGCCGGCCCCCGCCGCTCTCAGATCCAGCTCTGCGCCGCTTCCGCGCTATCCTCGCGCGTGTGCGGGTTTCCGCTCGGGCTGGGGAGGTAGGCCGGCCGGCGGGACGCTAGGGTTGTCTCGGCGCTTAGGCTTGACCTCCGGTTCTGCGCCTCGATGTTGAGCCTCGGGTTACCGCAGGCTCGCGGACGGTCTAACTGTGCTGGGCTCCTTCCCGGGCGGTGGGGCGAACCGTCTGCGCCGGCGGAGGATGTCGAGGACAGGGGCTGGAATTGTTGCGTTGCCGGTGGATGCTTGGGGACCACTCCCTTCTCTGCTCTCGGGGGGGCAGTGACCCATAGTGACTCAGATCAGGGGGTTGTAAGTCAGGGAGTCGTGGGTTCGAATGTAAGCTCTAATGTGTCATTACCTAGCTGTCAAGGCCTTGGGCAAGCTGGCTCATCTGCATTTGCCTGTGTAAGAGCATCTGGAATACCTAGGTCAGTGCTTTCTAAAAAGCACAGGCGCAGCCAACAGTAGGCACTCCGGAGATACATGTGGACAGATTTGGATAAGTTTTCTCATCACTTTTTTGGAGAAGAGAGGTATTCTTTCTTTTATATGTGTGTATTAATATTCTCATTACTTTTGCCTTTTTTTCTTGAGATGTAATTCACATAAAATTTACCCTTTAAAGTGTATAATTCTCTGATTTTTAGTATATACACTTATTTTTTTTTACTAAGTAGTTTAGCCAAATTAATAATATAACCATTTTTGCAGAGGACATAGCAGGACACTTGAGAATATTTAAAAGAGAGAGAATTTAGTTCAACTTAGTTGTTAGCAGTTTTATTTCCCATATGGATTGAAAAAAATAAAACCTACCTCAAAATAGCCTAAAATTCGGACTTATGGCCCAACCCACCTTCTTCCCTTTTGCTCACATGACAAAACTCAGGGGAGAAATCTCGCTAGAGACCCTGATTAGATGTCACTGGTCTCAAGGCATTTATCTAAGATGCTCTAGTTTCCTTTGCCTGATGCCTCAGGTGAACAGAGACTAGGGGTGGAATTAAAGGTGGTATTTCCAATATTTACATTGGGTGTATATGATCATGAGAAATGCTCTGCAAACTTGCTCATCAAAGTGAGAACTGAAAAATGAACTGGTAAGTGTGAAGTAACAAGTTAGATACCCCTCATCGTTTTCAGTAAGTTTACTTTCATTGTTTTCCTTCCCTAAATCCACTGTATGATACTGTGGCATCTCAGCTCTAGTCTTGAAAGCACCAGCAGCAGGATGCTAGTCGGGCCCAGGGGAAGTGATGTCCACCTTAGGGGATAGGGAGAGCTTCACATGCTGCTCTCCAATTAATAGGATTTAAATCCCTTAGCAAAGATTTACTGGGCATGTCCTCTGTAGTGGACACCGTTGGGAAGAGCAGTCTCCTGCTCAGTCTTTCAAGCCCTGCCCGGCCACATAAGAATGGGCCTTGGGCCTGGAACACTTCCTTACCAATAGACAAAGAGCCCTCACAGCCTGTACCAGGCTTATCACCTTGTATGGGGATATCCTTCCCTGTTTCAGACTCAGTGTGTGCTCCTTTGTTCTGCTTAAGCATGTCTGTCATTAGCCCTGGGGCACGCCCTCCCTTTCAGTATTTCAGACTCCATGGGGGAGGGGGAGGGGTCCTGCTAGAGGGACACTCATAGGCCTTTGGCTGCCAGGGAGCACCCGCTAGCCATGAGGGACTGATGCACACTATTCGAGCTGATCTTGCTCTGTCTCTTCTCTGTGAATAAAAATGCTGTTCCATCCAGTTCTTGACTGTTGTTTTCTTTGGTGGCTCTGATATCAAGAAGAAGCGGGCTGGGCCGGCCCCGTGGTGGAGGCGTGCTCTGCTTCCGCAGCCCAGGGTTTCGCTGGTTCAGATCCTGGGCGTGGACATGGCACCACTCATCAGGCCACTCTGAGGCAGCGTCCCACATGCCACATCTAGAAGGACCCACAACTAAAATATACAACAATGTACTGGGGGGATTTGGGGAGAAAAAGCAGGGGGAAAAAAAAAGAAGTAGTGGGCAGTAGTTGGCCCTGGTGGCTGGCATTGTGATGATCTTTGCTATCCTCTATGTAGTTGAAGGTGCCCCCCGACCCCACCCCCCACCCCCCGCATTGCATACTGCTGCGGCAGTGTTTTGCTTGGTGTTCCGCTCAATAGACACCATGCTGGGCTTGGGGTGGTTTAGCCGGTCTTGGACCACTTCCTTCTCCCTTCTACTTCCCTCTCCTTCAGCACCAGTGCTTCCCGGGTAACCATCTCACTTGAACCTTTCCTGGAGGCAACAACCCTGCTCCAGTTTCCCTCCAGGGGAACCCCATGTAGCTTGTCTCAGGTAAGTGTTAGAAGCAAAGCCACCGATCTATTGGTCATCCTGGAAGCTTTTCCTCCTCCCCCAGACTAAAGTAGGGTCCCATTAGACATCAAAGGTCATGAAAATGCCTGTATCTTTGATAGGATAACTCCCACTCTGGGAATCTGCCCCCAAGGACAGGAGACTATATATAAGCATAAACCCAGCAAAAGAAGACAGGTTAGGTAGAGTAATGCTAAATCTACTCAAAGACCTATTATGTAGCCATGATTAGGAAAACTATTAGCACCAGTGAAATATTTATCATTTATTAAGCAAAAAAACCCAAGGTGCTAATTATAACTACAATTATGGGAAACAGCAGGAAGACTAGAGGGAAATACATACAATGGTCACTCAGGCATAGAAGCAGAGCAGGGTACCATCCCACATAGGGGCTCCAGAGTCAGAATGCTTAGGTTTGAAGCTGGATCCCACTACCGGAAGCTGCATTACCAAGAACAAGTTATTTGGGGCCTCATTTACTCTTCTGTAAAATGAGATATTTAATAGTAGTGTCAATCTCAGGGCTATAGTACCAGTTCATGAAAAACTATATGTAAAGCATTTAAAACAGTACCTGGCACACACATAGTAATACTCAAATGTTAGTTATTATTATAAGAGATGGAATTACTGGAGGGTTTTTTTTTCTTGTAAGTATAGATACATGTGAAGTTTCAAAATCCCATCTTCATCAACTTTTACTATGCGTGTAACCTAGGCAAGTTATTTAACCTGTCTATGCCTCACTTTGTTCATCTGTAAAATGGAAATAATGGTACTGTTGTGAGCCATGGTCCCCTCCCGCCAGTGAGTATTCCAGCCACAGCCGTCCACAACATGACACATAAAGTTGTAAACTCCTATCCAATAAAACACTCTGAGAAGGAGACTCATTTAAGGTCCTATTTCCATAGAATTTAGGGTGCCTTATGAAATGAACTATTCTATCCAAAACACTGGAAACAATCAGTATAAAAGCAACATTATTATGTAGTCATATGTCTTCTATCTGAATTTAAAAGATCTTTTAGAAACAGCTTTTCAAAAAGTATGTATGAATTACTATTGTCTCTGTCCTACATGTGTCCTAAACTAAATTAGAGTCAACTTGTAGGCAAGAACAATATTTTATATTTCTTTTAGCTCTCACTAAACCTAGCACAGTGCTAAGGAATATTTTAAGTTTCAATTAATGCATGCTGGTTAGAGAACTATGACTAAAATTTAAGTTACGCTTTAGTATAGAACTGATACTAAATAAGCTTTAGTTATGATGGTAACATTTACTTTCTCCTAACATCTGCCTTACCCAGAAACAACTTCTTAAACCACTGCAAATGCCTTCAGTGAAACTGGAGATTACAAACACCAAAGTATTTGACTTTTTTATTTTCCCATCAGTTGCTACTTGTAAGGTCACATTTATCAATTCTAGTTATTCTTCCCACAACAGAACACTTTCCTGCTTACAGACTCAGAGAGAGAAATTGCAAATGAACAGAAAACCAACCTCTTAGACATAGATATGGAATCCAGAGTACTCTAAAACTAGAATCTGGAAGTCCTATTTCTGCCTTCTATAAAGTCAGCATGTTGCCATTCTACTCACTATTCCAGCAGAACGCATCTTCACATTGCACCTGGATGACTCCCCTAAAACACCGGATTCTGTTCCAGTAGTAAAGACAAGAATGGGAAGTTCTATGGAATATTTTCGCATTTGCTTATTGCAATACTAGTTAAAACACCAGTTTATAATGTTTTTACACATTCAGCAGCTCAAATGCATGATTCTTTTAATCTGACTGACGTTGTAAGTCAACACTTCACTGGAGAAAATGCATGAAACTGCAGTATTTTCTGAAATGAAGGACTGAAATCCCTCTTTCCGACTCCTTTCAGTCCATCACTGCTCTGCGTGTTCCTGCTCTTGTCCTGGAATCAGCCACCGAATACTCTCAGTTCGAATGGTAGCATACATAATAAAACTAATTAAAAAGAATAAGGAAAATACAAGCAACCAGTCCACACTTTTCATCAGAGTGCTGGGAAGAGGGCCTATTCGATCAGCTTGAGTGACTACCACATTTTTCTTGGCTTCTATACCTGAAAGAGAAATCAGTTGTTTCAAATCAGATAGAAAACACACCAGTTACAGATCTTTCTGAAGTATTTTGCATGGTATGCAAAATGATGTGCAGTCCTGAAATAAACACCACCACTAGGATATTTGGGATGAGTTTCACGTGCCTGTCAGTGTAATTTGTAACTTGCCTTTCTCCCCACCACATCAAAGGAACAGGAATCCATTCAGCTGTTCAAAGCTAAAACACTGGAATTTCTGTGAACCCATCAGAGGGGTCTTAAGTCAGTGCATCGTAAGAGTTGTCTTTTATTCTCTTTTGAGACCAAAGTTCAACACATAATTAGTAAAATTTCTCTCAAGATCTATAGAACATTTTCACAGGTTAAGTAATGCTAAATTTAAAATGCTTTAAAACAATGTACTGATAGGATTGTTAGCACAATGAGCCACTACTGGGATCAGTGATTGCCAAAGATGCTGTGACTCCTAGATTTCATTTGTCTTCTAGGTTTTCTTAGGGCATCGAGGAAAATGACTCCCTCTCTCCATATCAACTGAATGGCAATCAGGGTCTGGCATAAGACCTGGAATAGCTCACCACCTAGGAACAAGCCTTTTACTCCTATGAGGTCACTCAGGTCTTGGTTCTTTAGTGTTACATTTAAGTAATTACATACAACTTAACATATGTGGAAGGTATGTTATAATTTGTATTTATTTCCAGTGAATGTACTTCAGGAAGAAGTGGGGTGCTCATAATTGAGGTGCTGAAGCTTTTGTGGAATGAACTTTACCAATGAAAGAAATTTCTTCAATATACACTGCTCAAACTTTTATGGAATAAAAAATAAGGCCATATGTTTTGGCAAATATTAAGGAATTAAAATAGCACCTGCAAATGGATTAATAAATGGAACACTACACAGCAACAAAAATGAACAAAACACAACCACACGCAACAATGCAGATGAATCCCACAAACATAATGGTGAGTGAAGTAAGCCAGACACGAAAGAATCCATCCTGTACATCTCCAATAATATGAAGTTCAAATTCAGGTAACACTAGGCTATGGTGTTAGGAGTCGAGATGGTGGTTATCCGTGAGGGCAGGAGCAGTAGTGCTGAAGGAGGGCTAGTGATGTTCTCTTTCAGGATCTGAGTACTGGTTACCCAAGCTGTTCACTTTGTGAAAATTCATCACCTAGGACACTAATGGTTAATGCATATTTTCATGTAAATATTATACTTAAAATTGTATATAAAAAGTTATCTACAGGTGTATGGTATGAGAATTATCTCTCAAAAAAGCTTTTTTTTAGAAAAGTTATCTATAATCATATTAAAATTACCTATTCATGTTAAGCTTGCCACTGATTGACAGGCATTTAACAGGATCACAAGAGTTCATTAGAAAAGAAGTTTTACATCTCAAAGCTAATCTTGAACCCTTCACTTATGGATAACAGCAGACCGGAACCCCCCAGAAGGCACAGACCCCCAGCAATAAAACGTCGTCTACAGCGTATTGTTTCTACATACCTGTCTGGTTAAAAATGAAGATTTTCAGCGTTTCCAATGTTCTGTCTGTATGATTAAATCTAGCCATTGGTTTAGCTCCTTGAAATAACAAGATGTTAGGAACAGCTACAGTGCCAAACCTGGTAGAAAGGCTATGAGAAAAAGAAATCCGTGAGAAAACCTGAATTAACAGTGGGCTTTCTCACACAATTACCATATCAGAATGGATGGAAATAAATGAGCTAACATAAGTTTCATGTGACCTACAAAGTTTCTGATACTCAAACTATATGCTTGTAGTTGTTTCTGACCTCTTTCCTTATGGGTCATGGTTGAGGGCATTCCTGTTGTGCTGAGCTGCTTTCTATTACAATATGGAACTACCCATGACACAATTATTCCACTATTTAAGTTCCTGCCAAAATGGATCAGACCAGAAAATTCTAATTCATGAACAAAGTACACTATGTCAATTTACTTGACAGAAGAAATTTCAAACTCTCCAGAATGCCCATCTCCATCCTTCATCTAAGATTCAACTTTCGGTAAGCAATCGGTTTGGGACATCTATGATCTAACAAACACACCAGGAAGTCCACAGTTAGGGCAGGACGATTGAGAAGTAACATAACCTGAGCAGAACTGTTTCACCTTACATAATACAGAGCAGTGGTATAAGCACCCAACACTCCGTGTTCAAGCCTCCGTTCTGCCACTCACCCAGCTGTGTGACCTTTGTCCAGATTACTTAACCTCTTTGAGGCTCAGTTTCCTCCATTAGTAAAATCGTAATATTGGATAATCAGGATTTTATCTTTTGTAAACAAGATGTAACTTAAATATTAACAAATGAGGTAAACACATGTCCCAGCCACATAATAAGAACAAGTATCCTCTATCCTCCACAATTAAGGCCCCACAGCAGGCACTGAGAAGGATGCATGGGGAGGAAGAAGCAACGAAGCAGATGCTCAAAGCCTGCAGAGAATGGGGGGAGGCTGGGGGAGCGGGGACAGCACCAGATCCAAAACCCTAGAGTACTGAGCAGGTGCTGGGAGCCAGCCCTGCCGGCTTGGGGGCAGTGGATGGTCCAGTCAAAGCTGGATATTGACCTGGACTGTCCTTCCAATCCGTCTGTTCCCTTGGGCCAGGCCACTTAGATACTTCCCTGAAGCCCTTAAGAGAATTACTAACTTGCTGGGCAATTTCTTTCTTCATAAACAATTTCATGTAAACATCAGCAGTTATACTACCCACACTGACAATCAGTGGAGCAGAAATCAGTAAAGCTTTACTCATTTTTACCACCAACTTGACCATCTTCCAGACTTTCCAAATTTATTCACACACAATCACTTTGTGACCTGCTAAGGAGCATTTGATTTAGAGGAGGAGGGGAGCACACAGTATATAACCCAGGCACAGCCATAGCACCTACGGGAAATATCTGACATCTGAACAGAGTTCTTTGTAATGTATCTTAGTGAACATGCGAAAAAGATAAAAGCCCAGTGAACAATATAAAGAAAGAAAACAAGGGTAAATGTCATTCTAAAGGGCTAAGTTGATTCATTAAATTAATTTATTGATTGTCTGCTACGGAACATGCATGCAAGGATAAATATAAGCAAGAGGAAAGAAAGAAAAAAATAAAAGAAGGAAAGAAAGAAATCCTAAGTAGACACAGACTGGGGGTGCCAAGAGTTAGGCTGCCGGGGTGGGGACCTAAACTATAGATGAAGTTCCACAGGAAGATCCTACTTGTGATACTAATTTTGCTAATTCAGTCCGGCCAGGACCCTAAAAAGTCCTCTAGCCACTGCCCTGCCATCAGATGGAGCCACCTTTACATTCCACCATGCAGAGAACAGTCTTTCTTCTGCAGGTGGCCTCCAAAAAGCGAGGCCAGCAGCTCCGTGGGAGTCCGACAATCCTCACTACTCACACCTGCCTTTCCCTTCCTTCGATTCCATTTCAAAGATCATGCCTCCCTCCTCCACGTCTAACTGAGCTGATTACAACTTCAAATAACTACAACCAGCAATCCAAAAGGAAGAGACGCAAATCCCACTAAGGGACGATACCTGCTGTGCTGAGATGCATCCAAGGCCAAAAAATGAAGAGCTGGAAATGCCCGGGGCAGAGAATTAAAATGAGGGGCCAAACTGGCAGAAAAGCGGCACCAAGGGGTGTAAAAGAGGACTAGTGTGCAGTCACTACCATTTGGGTTTAGAAAATCCATAAGGTCCTGTGGTAAAAGAAACAAGTGTTAAGTCAGCAGTAAATGTGCATGCACGTTTTTCTGGAAGGATACCCAAGAAACAGGAAACACTGCTGCCTCCAGGGGGAGGAGGTAGGGCAGGGCTAGGAGGAGACTGCAGTCTATCCCCTTAAGAACCTTTTGGATTTAGAGCTATATGAATCCATGAATCGGCAGAAAAGTACTGTCAAATGACAAGTTATAAGCCTGCCTCTAAGCTTTCTTAATATTAATATAGGGCAATTTTAGTATTTTTCCTAATTCATCAATTCAAATACTAAGTACTCACAGGGTACAGACCACTGTCCCAACCTTTCAATTGTGCATCTCACGCAGTCTAATGGCATTAGTAAAGCACTGTTATCTCAGGCCCAAACTACCATCGGCAGATCCAAGTCTGTACTAAGCAGTTGGATCAATGTATTTGGCCAAAAGTTAGTTCAATTCAAGGGTGCACCACCCCTGCCACCACCCTAACCCAGCCTGCTTAGACTGCTCTCCTCTGCTCATGTTTGTGACACCCGTGAAACGGTCCTGCAGAGCTGAGGCACAGAGTTTACCCGGCACTGAGGGGAGGGTGTGAGGCCAGCACTGACCCCTGCTCTTGGAGGGGCTACGTGCACTCAACGTACCACATGTGCCCTCGTCTAAGATAAGCAATCACAGCTTTCAGAGCAAGGATTTCTTCTCTTACATAAGCAGCCTGCATTCATCCTGCTAGCCGGCTTAACAATCCTACAGACACTGTCAATCATTATCCCAGTATTCTCTTTGGAATCCCCATTTATAGAACTAGCTGGAAAAGCATGGCTGGATTTGGGACAATTGTCTAAGCTTTCACTCCAGAGTAAACGCTGAATTCACACTTTTGGACAAAAGAAACTTTTCGTCAGTATAACATATCCCATGGGCATTCCTGGTAGAAACAATACTAGATTACAATTTTAGTAATTCAAGCGTTTTTAAGTTGCCTCCATAATAAATATCTCATTTGGAAGAAGAAAAATGCTGATTCTGAGGCCAAGCACCTATCTGTCCACTGGGATTTTTATGAGACTTGGTGGTAAGATTAGCCCAAGGATGACTAGGTTTAAGGCACCTAAAAAAGCATAATCGATGCTAGTTATATCGCCTCCTTTCCCTGCAAACATCACAGAGAGCAAAGTCAATTTTCACTGATGCAGCCATTAAATGCTTACAATACGATAAAGATTATGACCCTCCATTTGAAAGTTGATAGAATATTAAATCGTAAATCAGTGTGCTGGAAAGGACTAAGAAATTTTTTCTTACCTGTGACATATTTAAAATTTTCAGGGTGAAATTTTCTAATCCCGTCACATTTCTCTCCTCGCAGTTCACCTTTGGGGACTTCAGACTTTCGGTGTTATTGGAGTCCTCTGGTGGGGCTGGGTCCGATTCCGCCCCCTCCGGCTCTGTGTAATACTCCTCCTCTCTCTCAGGGAAGCCTGCCCCAGCGCTGTCCAGAGAGAAGACGCTCTCTCCAAGGCTGCACCGCGAGTCCTCCTCCCCTCCAGCCCTGCAGGTTCCGCCACTGGGCTCTGAGCTCAGTTTGTCCTCGGCCTCCCCGGGAATCACAGACAACATCGCCATGTGGTCACCATCGGTGTCCAGCCCCAGCACTGCGTCAGCCTCTTCTGCGGATGTGTCTTGGCCCATCGGGCCACGTGAAGGCTCCTCCTCACTCATGTACACAGACCCCACCTGGAGAGGCTGAGCAGGCTGCTCCTCTGACCATAAGTGACCACTCTCCTCTGCAACTAAAACATGCCAGCATGTTCACAGACATATTTGACTTCAAAATAAGTGATCCCCGAAGAAATTATAGTTCTCCTCATATATGAAATTCTCCCCCACAGAGAAAAAAAGTTACCCTTCCCATTAATTAAACTATCAGAGAGCCACCCGCCATTCTCCAGGTCATGAAGAAGGTCACAAAGAGGTACTAGATTAATGAATTCCAAGTAAATAAGTGGACAAATACAGAGCTTTATGCAAAACTCACTGCTTGTATATGGATTATAGACAAAAACATCCCAGTGCAGATCCAATTGGGAAAATATAATCCAAACACACTTCAACAATTTTGTTTGATCAGAATATCCAAGAAAATAATGATGGCTTTATGGAAGATTTTACCATGGCAAACTATCTTTACACACATTCTAATAGCTCTGTGAGATGGGCAGGACAAGGGTTATCACTCCCATTTAATAGATGACCAAGCTGAGGCAGAGGGAGGTTCAGCTAATGCCCAGGGGCACACAAGCTAGTAAGCGGCAGAGCCAGGTCTAGGAGCGGAGGCCTCTGACTGCTCTCTAGAAGGGACCTTACCCTCCCCTCACAATACCTAAGGGTTGCTGGGCCACGCCGCCTGAGGAACACTGCTCAAGCCATGAAGTAGCTCCTTCCTGAGGCGGCCTCTACAGCTGGACTCTGCTCTCCTTCCCACGGCCCTTGGGCTACTGCCCTTGGGAGTGCTGGGGGTGCACCGAGCACTGCTGGGGCGGCAGCAGGGAGACTTCCTTCCACTTTGCAGCCACGAGACAGGGCTTGGGCAAAATACTCAGGTAAGGGAAGAGTCCGGGGCAGTCGCATACGTCCACTCAGCAATCTCTACTCTGTAACAACGACTGCTGCCCTCCAACTCTCATTAACTCAACACCAGCTGCCAGACTCCGCGCCAGGCACGGAGGAGAGGAAACAAATGAGCCCAGCTGCACTCAGACAAGCTCACTGTGGGAGGAGCCACCAGCTGTGCAGTGAGCTCTGCCACGCCAAGAGCATGACACCAGCATGTGAATGACCAACTGGCTTCAAAGTTGGGGAAGGGTCCGGGAGCTTCCTAAGGTAGGCACATTTGTATAAGGTCTCAAAGAATATCCCCATAGAGATGTGCAGATTCATTCAGAAATCGAAAACCATTCCCTGGAATTATGCTCCTGGCTAACATGGACTAGCAGGGACCATATTTACCCTCCCTCCTCAAACAACCTCAAAACAGCCAAATATAGGAAACAACAGTTTCAGGAGACTATCAGGCACCAATGGACAGCGATCCCTGAGAAACAGGAAGCAAATGAAGAGAGCCCTAAAATTGCTCTCCAGCTTACTGCCTGAGGGAGTTCCCACCATGGCTCAGGGAGGAGGACCCAGGCAGAGCCCAGCAGACTCCTCAAGTCGAGGAGATGGAGCTCAGGGTCCAAGGAGACCGAGAAAGCTAGAGCTGGCAGAAGAGAATGGTGGAGACAGGAGAGCTGCAGAGACAGGACTCTGGAGAGCTACAGCGGACCCCGCGAGTACACGGGTCAGCATACACACGTGAGTAAACTACCCAAAGCGGGGAAAGAACCACCCAAAAGGATTAGATGCAACAGTACCCAACGCGCACACAGAGCTAGGAACAGTCCCTGTTCCCACCAGCTAGACTGGAAAACCTCATAATTCACGGGGCACTAGGGAGAGTACACAAAAGGGACTTCTTTCAGTAGTGGGGCACAATTAACCCTATAGTAGACAGAGCTCTGCTCCCATCTAGCAAACCTTAAAAACAAGGATCCAACCACGTTCAAGTAACTTAACTGTATCCCAGAATAAAGCTCAAGAATAGTTATAGGAATACTAAAATATCCAGCACTCAACAAGGCAAAATTTATGTCTGGCATCCAATCAAAGATTACCAGGCATGCAAAGAAGCAGGAAAATATGATCCATAATGAGAATAATCCATCAATTAAAACTGACCCAGAACTTGCACAGATGTCAGAATTATAAGATGAGGATATTAAAACAGTATTTATAACTGTATTACATATGTTCAAAAATTTAAGTAGATATAGAGACATAAGATATAAAATAAGACCCAAGTCAAAATCAATTTGCAATGAGATATCACCTCATACCTGTCAGAATGGCTATCATCAAAAAGACAAGAAATAACAAGCGGTGGCAAGGGTGTGGAGAAAAGGGAACCCTTGTGCACTCTTGGTGGGAATATAAATTGGTGCAGCCACTATGAAAACATTATGGAGTCACCTCAAAAAAGTAAAAATAGAACTACCATATGATCCAGCAATTCCACTCCTGGGTATACATCCAAAGAAAATAAAAGTACTAACTCAGGAGGCCAGCCCCATGGCCAAGTGGTTAAGTTCACACACTCCGCTTTGGCAGCCCAGGGTTTCGCTGGTTCAGATCCTGGGCACAGACGTGGCACTGCTCATTAGGCCACACTGAGGTGGCATCCCACACGCCACAACTAGAAGGACCCACAACTAAAATATATAATTATGTGCTGGGGGGATTTGGGGAGAAAAAGCAGGAAAAAAAAAGATTGGCAACAGTTGTTAGCTCAGGTGCCAATCTTTAGAAAAAAACGAAAACTAACTGAAAATGATATATGCACCCCATGTTCACTGCAGCATTATTTACAATAGCCAAGATATGGAAGCAAACTAAGTGTCCATCAATGGATGAATAGATAAAGAAATACACACACACACACACACACAATGGAATATTATTTGGCCATGAAGAAGGAAATCTTGCCATTTGCAACCATGTGGATAGACCTTGAGGGCATTATGCTAAGTGAAATAAGTCAGAAAAATATCATATGATCTCACTTATATGTGAAATCTAAAAAAAAAAAAAGCAAGCTCACAGATACAGAGAACAGATCAGTGGTTGCCAGAGGTAGAGGGTGAGAGTGGGCAAAATGTGTGAAGGTGATCAAAAAGTACAAACTTCCAGTTATAAAATAAGTAAGCCAGAGGGATGAAATGTACAGCACAGTGACTATAGTTAATACTGAATCATATATTTGAAAGTTGCTAAGAGAGTACACCTTAGAAGTTCTCATCACAAGAAAAAAAATTTTATAACTGTGTATGGTGATGGACATTAAGTAGACTTATTGTGGTAATCATTTTGTAACGTACACAAATATTGAATCATTATGTGGTACACCTGAAACTACTATAATGTTACAGGTCAATTATATCTCAATTAAAAAGACCCAAATCATACTTCTAGCAAATAAAACTATAATGTCTGAGGTGAAAACTGCACTGGATGGGACTAATGGCAGATTAGATATTGCAGAAGAAAGGAGTAGTGAACTTGAAAGCATTTTGAACCTATCCAAAATGAAACACACAGTGAAAAAAAGAATCGGAAACTTAAGAACATCAGTGAGCTGTGGGACAATTTCAAATGGCCTAACAAACAGATAATTGGAGTACTTGAAAGAGAGAAAAGAGTAGAAGGGACAGAAAAAGTATTGGAAGAAAAAATAACTGAAAACTTTACAAACTTGATGAAAACTACAAATCCACAGATCCAAGAAGCTCAACAAACCCCAAGCTCAATGAACTACACCAACACACATCATAATCAAAATGATCAAAACCAGTGACAAAATAAAAATCCTAAAAGCAGCCAGAGGGGCTGGCCCCCTGGCTGAATGGTTAAGTTTGCATGCTCTGCTGCGGCGGCCCAGTGTTTCGTAGTTCAGATCCTGCACATGGACCTGGCACCACTCACCAGGCCATGCTGAGGCGGGATCCCACATGCCACAACTAGAAGGACCCATAACTGAAATACACAACTATGTACTGGGAGGATTTCGGAAGAAAAAGCAGAAGAAAAAAAAAGGAAGATTGGCAACAGTTGTTAGCTCAGGAGCCAATCTTTACAAAAAAAGAAAAGCAACCAGAGAATAAAGACACGCTATGTACAGAGAAACAAAGATAAGATGACAGCAGATTTCTCGTTGGAAACAACGCAAGTAAGAAGAGCAGCATCTTTAAAGTACTGAAAGGAAAAAACTATAAACCTAGAATTCTATACCCAACAAAAATACCTTTCAAAAACAAAGGCAAAATAAATAATTTTTCAGACATACAAAAGCTGAAAGAATTCATCACGAGCAGACCCACACGACAAGAACCTTAAAGGAACTCCTTCAGGCAGAAGAAAAATGAGACCAGATGGAAATATGGATCCACACAAAAGAGTGAAGAGCACCAGAAATAGTAACTACATGGATAAATATACACTATTCTTTCTGAAAGTCCAGCTATGAAGAGGACAAGAAAGATGGGGTAGTGCCTATGGGCAGGCAAGAGGTTAAGAGAGGTCTCCATTTCAGTTTTTAGGACATACGTGAAATTTAAGGCTATATAAAGCTGATGGGAAAGTGCACAAGGAGGAGAGGCGACAATATAGGTTAGACAGGCTCCAGAGCACAGGGCTTGGACAGCAAGAGGGTCGAGCACTTCCATGTCTACAACCTAGAGAAGGGGCGGGGCACCTGGGCAAGGAGCTCTCCAATTTGGTGGGGGTGGGGTCACACTGGCAGTCTTTCTGTAGGTGTTTGGTTGATGAGCATGTACTGCTTGTGTAACCAGAAAAAAACCCAAACATGTTCGCTGCATCGTCCACAAGACAGAGCAGGAAATGAAGCCAGAGAGGCTGAAAGTCTGGAGAAGAACAAAGGGTGCCAGGTTTGGAGGCCCAAACTCCCAAATGCCCCAGCTCCACAGAGATCTGCTCTCTCTGAATCTAATCAACATTCTAGGTCCAATAAGCAAATGGAGAATGCCAACACCCTGAAAGAATCTCAGGAGAAAAAAACCAGGGCACAGATTAGAATCTGGTTCTCTCTGATCACCCTCATGTAAAAATGGATAGATGTCCCCCACAGAAAATTTAAAGGGAGTCTGAGTGATGCCAAGAGCTGGCATTTTAAGTTGAGGAGTGTTGTTTTTCTCTCCTGTGAAGATATTTAAGTACACAGTACAGAGTAGGAACAAAAAACTCATGCGCCATCAGGTACCACTGTTCTCTTTTGGGTAACGGGAAGAAAGGAAACACTGAATTACTCCACAGTAAGATAGAAATGACCTCCTATGTGAGACCCACTGAACCCTCCCATGGTAACGCACCTTTCCAAAGAGATTGCTTCTTAACCTAAACCAGCTGATTACAGTCTGGCCAGGGATAAAGCGAAAATTATTGCCTTACTGGTAGCAAGGAAGATGTTTTGAAACAAGAGTGGGGCACCATGCCAACTCTGCCAGGGAGCCTCAGGCTAGGTTAGCTCCTTCATACCCTTCCAGTTTTTCTCAGAGGGCTCTCTGCCAGCCACAGGTTTTTTTTCACAATGGCTTCTGTGGCAGGGGAGTCAAAGGGGGAAGGACCCAAAACAGCCAGGGGTTGGAGGGGGAGCAACTGATACTTTCCATAGGAAACACTCAGTATGCTCATCTAACAAATGAAGAAAATACCACCAAAATGCAGAAATCCACAGAGCTACTGCGAAGACTGAATGAGAAAAGACGTATATATACCGTCCCTGGCACACAGTAAGCACTCCATAAATGGCTGCAGTGATGATGATCATGATAACGACTGATGTTTACAATTCAAAGAGATGAACAGGCACCATAACTAAGTCCTATTAATTCCTCTGCTAAATACATTCTGGATCCATCCACTGCTCCCATCCCCATTCACACCTTCAGTCCAGGCCACAGCCATCTCTCACCTGGACAATTGCTGTAGCCACCTTACTGGTCTGCCTGGATGGCCTTCTCTCCCACCTCTGGACACTACTCCACACAGCAACCCAAGTGGAAATGAAAGTTAAAGGCAAATCTGATCATGTCACTCCCTTGATAAAAATCTTTCAACGTCTTCCTCCTGCCCTGTGACTAAGTGTGCATTCTGTTGCCTGGGTACCAGGCTGCACGTGATGTGGCCCCTCTCCACACCCTCAACTGGTGCCACCAGACATTTCTGGTCCTGGATCACTCACACTCTCCTCCACCTAATTTAGAGTTGTCCCAAGGGCTGTTTCTCTGCCAGGAAGGCCCTCCACCCCCTCTTCTTCTGGCTAATCCAACTCACCCTTCAGATCTTACCCTAAACTTCACCTCTGTAAGGTTAACTTCAACTTCCTTTACCCTCACACAGTAGGGTCTCCCAATATAGCATCCAATAATGTCCTCGGACTCTCCCTGAAGCATCTCTTCCACTCTTGTAATTTACTTAATTATTTGTAGTCATTTAATGCCTACCTTCCCCATCAGATAGGAGGGTGGGCCTGTTTCCCTGTCTCACTTACCACTGTACCCCCAGTGCCCAGCAGAGCATATGGTATATGATGACTGCACAGTAAGAATCTGCTAGCTGACTGGCTAGCGAAGATGGCACGGAGGTGTTAAAGCCAAGAGGTGGCTCCCGTTCCTTGATACCTGGACAGCACTGCCACCTCCCGTTGCTAATCTGCCAGGGGTATCTTCTGCAGGAAAAAATTCTTGGCTTTTCAACCACCCTGAAAAGTAACCAGCTGGTGAAGGTTCCTCTGTCCTCACCCCATGACCCACGGCCTGACCATGATGACCCATGACCCACCCCATGGCTCGTGTTCTCCTGGGGTCTGCATGAATGTGACCCTGATTGCCAGGTGGGCTCACACTGACTGCAACAATAAGCAAGTCCTCTGAATCAGCCAGGGTTCTGCCAGGAAACAGATGGCACATTCAACTTGGGCAATTTGAAGACAGTTTAATAAAGGGACAACCAACATGTGGCCTGGGTGTAGAGAAACCAAAAGCAACGGTAAGGAACCCCAGGGCCAGTAACAGCAGAGGGAGGGCCAGTTACCACTCACAGACCCTAAGAGTCCAGAGGCAGAAGCAGTCACAGGACCTTGAAACAGCTAGGAAAGCCTTCTAGAAGCTGTGACTTTCAGGGGAGGGGCACAGCCAACCTGTGATATCCCTGAGGGAGAGACCTGAGGAAATCAATACCCTGACCTCACTCTCCCCTCACTCCAAGCCAACAGAAGCCAGAAGACAGGAGGAGCAGTTGTTATTCCATACAAGGCAGCCACCTAGGGCACAGAGCAGGGTGGAGAAGGCTGGAGAATGATCTAGGAGACAAACAGAAGATATCCAGCACATGCTGTCCCCTCTCTCAGGCTGGGGGTTAAGTGCAGTGACAGAGAAGTGCAGACAGAGGTTCAACTGTGAAGTCAGGCAGACACGGGCTTGAATCGTGGCTCCTCAACTTCTGGCTGTATGACTGTGGCAAAAGACATTGACTCTGAGTCTCAGATTACTCATCTATAAAACAAAGACAATAACAACATCTACTTCCTAAGCATTTAAAGATTAAATAAGATGATGCTCACGAAGCACTAAGCATAGCCCATGGTGCACACTGAGTGCATTCATCAATGATAACTGTTACTACTGCTCACCCGTGTCCCTGCTAAGCAAGGCAACTGCCCTGCCTCCTTCCCGGACACCCCAGGAAAAGGAAAGACCTGCCTGGAAATTCCTGTTGGGTTCTGAATGACAAGCAAGGCCAAAGGGTCTGAACTTTAATAGGACTGTGAGGAGTGGGCGAACGAGCAATGAGTAAGGCCTCCACCCCTGCACTCAGCCGTGCCTCCAGGGTGACTGCCTTCTCCACCTGAGGGGACCCTGAGAGCCTGACCCTGAGAGCCTGCCCTGGCAGGCAGCTGGTTACCCTCGGAGTCTCCTGTGTTTTTCTTATCTGTCTATCCAGGCATCCGAGCAAGTGTGGGCCTCTTAAGAAAGTGTCCAGCAGGGTGCAGAGTAAAGTGTGGCCTCTGCAGTCAGAGAGACAGGCTCTGCCATTTACCAGGAGTGCAAACTTGGGCGGATGGGGTAGCCTCCCAGAGCTCAGCATCTCCATCTGTAAAATGGAAAAGCTAATGAAACCTTTCTCACAGGGTCGGTGGAGGACTAGATGAGATAATGATGGAAAGCACTATGCACAGTTCCTGGACCCTAAAAAAGACACCACAACTGTTGGTTATTCCTTATGATTATTACCATTAATAATGAAATGCTCGCCATCTGAGGGTATGCCTCAGTAGCGCTAATACACGGTCACTCCTGCCCGACAGATGCCTGCTGTGGGGACCTGAACGTGGCCCGGTCACCTCTGGGGCTCCCTGTTCTGCCGTCTCCCACCCCAGACCCGGACGGGAGACCACTGCGGGGAAAGCGGTCGGGACCACGCCGGGAGAGGCGCAGCGGGGGGCGTCAGGCGCGCATCCCGGCCCTTCGCGCAGGTAAAAGAGCGTCTCCCGTGCCGACCTCCGCCTCGCCCCGCATTCCCCGCACCGCCGCTCGCCGCCCCGGCCACGGCCCCGGCCCCAGCCCGCACTCACCCTCCAGGCCGCGGGCAGGAGGCGCCAGCACCCATAACAGGACCTGCCACCAGCCGAGGAGCCACATGGCACGGGCTGCGGCCGCCGGGACCCCTGCCCAGGCCGAAGGACAACCGGCGCACGGTGAGACGAGTCGCGCTCCCAGCCGGGAAAAGGCTGGGGGAGGGGAGCCCGGGAGCGCGCGCGCGGCCCCGCGCCGCCATCTTGGCAGCTGGCAGCCGCTGCGGGCGCCATTTTTGAGTCGGGCAGCCTGCCTGTGGCCTGTGGCCCTTGGCGTGCGCCGCAGGGCTCGGGGCTCTAGGAGATGGGCGCCTTTCATCTCGGGTGGCTTTTTTAGTTTCCTGACTCCAAGCCCTGGGCAGTGCTCCAGCAGAGGCCTGTGGCCGTCTTTCTTCACGCGCGAGTCGGGGCCTGGCTGCTGGCGACACACTGCACCCGCCCTGCGCTGCATTCACGGGCCAGAAGGGCCCAGAAGCCGCCTGGTCTCTCGGGTGCCCCGTGAAGGTGCAAATCTTGAATCCGGCGCCATACCCGTGCTACCCTACCTAGGGTTGTCGGATGAAATACAGGATGCCCAGTTAAATCTGAATTTCACATAAACAACCAATAATTTTTTACTGTAAGAGACTTACCGAAATTCCGATTTAACTGAGTGTACTGTAACTTTATTTGCTATCATCTGGAAACCCTACCCCTACCTGTCTACTCAGGACAGGATTTTTTGTTGGCGGTTGGTTTTAGCTATCTCACCTGCGGGGCACTCTCTCCCTCCCGAAACCAGCCCCAGGCGGAGTCCTGGAGGAGATGGAGTCACCGTGACCCTAAAGTTAGGAAAGGGCCTAAAATGAAGAAGGCATGGATGAGGAGGGGAAGTGTCCTACTAGGGGACAGGACTCTGCATTCTCTAACAAAGGGACAGAGGGGGAATCTAAGAGAAAATTCTGGAAGGGAATGAAAAGGATTACTCTCCTTGTCAGCGGAGTATTTTAGTGGGGAGGGCCTCCTAAAGTCAAATAAAGCAAGTTTTGAGCAGCCACCAGTGCTAAATCAGTGCAGAGTGCAGCTTTCAAACTTATTTTAAGAGGTTGAAAACATAGAAATAGATTTCAAAGATAGTTATTCGAGCCATTGGTAAATACAACAACATTAAAAAGAACCTGGGGGTCTGCCCATGGCCTAGTGGTTAAGTTCAGTGCCCCCTAGTTGGCTGGGGTTCAGTTCCCCTGTGTGAACCTATACCATTAATAGGCGGCCATGCTGTGGCAGGACCCACATGCAAAACAGAGGAAGATTGACACAGATGTTAGCTCAGGGCTAATCTTCCTCAGGAAAAAAAAAAAGAAAAAGAAGAACCTGGGGTTTTTGGCCATGTAGTTAATCCTGGCTCCAATATTTATAATAGTATATGATCAGTCGGTTATGTAAAGTTCAGTTTCTTCATGTGTAAAATGGGGATGAAATTATATAGAGTTATGTGGATTAAATGAGATGTAAGGTGATAAGCACAGAGCCTGGTGCACAGCAAGCACTTGAAAGTGGTAGCCATTATTATTTGAGTTATACAATTCTAGTGGAGTAATCATAGTCCCCTTGTGCCCTTCAAAGAGAGATTGTTAGACAGAAAGATGCATCATCAATCTGACCCTATGGATGATTCTTATATTCCAAGTAGGTTGCCATGGTTTTGTATAGTAAATTCTTAAGTGCCTTTGGGTCCAGGAAGATCTGAGACAATGAACTACATGGATGAAAGAGCCCACAGTTCTAGAGTTGGTCACTACAGTCATCATTTGGTTACCTCCCTCCCTCACCCCCAGCTGTGTAATAGAAAACCTTTCCTTCATTAACTTCTCTCCATACCCTCCATACACAATTTGAAGGTGCATGAAAAGCCAATAGGACAGAGGATTAAGGAGATTTAGGATTAATGAATTAATGAAAAGGAGGCTGATTTGACTCATCTGGACTCTCCACCGTGGATGCCCTGTGGTTACTCCTTCCTTTTTATTATGTCCTTTCCCTTCCTGTGTTTATGCTTTGGCTGTTTGTTTGGGCAGATACACTTACAAATGTTAGAATTGTCGTCTTCCGATAAATACCATATATATCCTCTCCAGTGACCACTCAGTAAATGCAGTCAACAGCAGAGAATGCACATTTGACTGTCTCACCACCAGATGGCACATGCACTTATTTTCCGTGAGAAAATTGCCTTCAGGTTTGCTTAAAACTTTGATTTTATTTTCGTCCCTGGGAGGGAAAAAAAGTCCTCCTCCTCCTCCTCTTCCTTTGGCTGAAATGAACTCTCTGCACCAACACCATACAGCCTGGGATTGTTCATACAAGAGTCTGATAATATTTGGGATTGTGTTATACACAGCTACACACCTGACCGCCTGATGTTTAGTCTGTCCCTCTTGATAGGTTTGCCAAGATTTTTTTTAATCTGATGAGTCATGAGGGCTTCTCTCTCTCTCTCTTTTCCTCTTGCTCTCTCCTCTCTCATCAAGAAACAGGCAGGTATTTACTTTCATTTAGATCACTGTGGCAAAGAGTATTTGCTGCAATAATATCCCTCATCTCTGAGCTGTTCTACAAAGTAATTTTGCCACTGCCCCATCAACAGGTAGAATCTAATTCCCCTCCCCTTGAATCTGGGTGGGCCTGTAATTCACATATAACCAAGAGAATTAGTAGCAGTGTATGAAGTCATCCTGTATGACTTCTGAGGCTACACGACTTTATCCTTTTTGGCTGGAAGATTTGCACTGGAGCGCTGAGCCAAGTAAGTAGTCAGACTGTCCTGAGGCTGCCATACTCTGAGGAAGTTCAAACCAGCTTGCACAGAGAACCCCTGACACTACATGAAGAGAGATGCCCACCATCATCAGCTGATCCAAGCCCTGCTGTCCAGCTTCAGCCACCATTAGACTGCTACTGCCTGAGAAACTGTAGCCAGATATGCCCAGCTTGAGCTCTTCCCAAATTCATGACCCACAACA